GTTTTATACAGGTTTTAAATGATTAAAACTGTATGTGTATTTTATATCTACAAGATAAATGTTGGGTAGAACATGGGTAGATGGAACAGTTGGTGTGAGATGAAAGATGTTATGAGTGAACCCTGGCGACTATGAGACGTAGTGCCTATTGTATAAACCCTGGTGACTATGAGACGTAGTGCCTATTGTATAAACCCTGGCGACTATGAGACGTAGTTCCTATTGTATAAACCATGGCGATTATGAGACGTAGTGTCTATTGTATAAACCCTGGCGACTATGCGACGTAGTGCCTATTGTATAAACCCTAGCGACTATGAGACGTAATGCCTATTGTATAAACCCTGGAGACTATGTGACGTAGTGCTTGTTGTATGAACCTTGGTAGCCATGGACTTTGGATAAATTCCTTATGTCAATCCTTACGAATGAATGAATGAAGGATAGTTGATGCTTAGGGTAAATCCTTAAGAAATAAAGGAGATATGGGGATGGGTATTTGGGTTGATTGTTTAATGATTGAATATAATAATTGTATTATTGTGAGTTGAAAACCCTATATGCTCACCAGACTTCCAAGCCTGACCCACTCAGTTTTCTTTGCATTACAGGTAATGACACAAGAGTATAAGTTGGTGGACTTGACGAGAGATTTTGGATAATAGACCAGTAGTTGTAAATAACTGCTGTAAGGTCGAATTGTACTGTTTATGCTTTTGGTCTGTATCGGAACATGACATCCCGAGGTTTTATTATTTAATGAAAATATATTCTCTTTGAGAAATGTTTTGATAAAGAATTTATCATGTTTTCTGGGAACAAATTCCGCAACACTTTTAATCAAAGGATTACTCTGATTTTATAAAAACAAGCATAAACAAATCGGTCTTTTCTGGCCGAGAAATTTGGGATGTCACATACAAGAGCTGGACTACAATTGTTCAATAGTTGAGCAAAAGAGACCATCAAAAACCTTCCATGAGGTGGATAGTTTTAGAATCCCTCGTTAGGGTTTCTGAAAACCTCCAACTCAGATAAGGAAACATAATTTGAATAGGGATAAATTAATATTATTCAAATTTAGGGTTTCCAGGGTATTTGGAAAGTATAAATAAGGATCTTCCCTAGCCAAATTTGATAATACCTTCATACCTCATGAAATCATATTTCTCCTTTCTCCCTCTCTCCTATTCGATTCTAGGGTTTCCTCGAGTTTTGGGTGTGACGGATTAGAGACTCACATACTTTTGGAGCTAGTCTTTCAAGGATATTATCAAGAGTTTTTAATTAAGCTCAATTCGACTTAAGCTATAAGGTATGTGGTTCTATTCATGAATTTGATTCATAGAGTTTAAAGTTTTGTTTCATAAGTATGTTGCTATTAATTAAAAAATGACATAGATCCATTAGGTTGCACGTACCCTTAGGAGTTCAGTGAAATTACGCACGTACATATTGATTGTAACCTAATATTCCCAATACTTTCTTCCTCAGGCTTCACAAAATCCAAGGAACAAGCTCCAAAAATATGAAAACAAGCTCACAACCATGAATGGGGGGGGGGGGGGGGGTTCGAGTTGGAAGGGTGGAGGCTGAAGGGAAAGACCTAATCCAAGAGTTAATGCCTTTAAATATGAAAGAAACCCTAAATCTTGGGCTTGGACTGCAACAACGACCACACCCTAGTCACCATCTCGCCACGTTGTGGTGACCAGCCTAGCACGTTCTTCATTTGAGTGTCATGACCACGTCGTGCTCATCAAACCACCATGTCGTGGCATAAGGGTTTTCCCGAAAACCTTATCCTTGACATCTTTAAGTCCTCGACTGATAAAACGAGAAAATGGTTGTTACAACTAATCTTTTAAAAATGAGGGAGTACGAGGGAGAGGAGAGAAAGTGAAGTTAGTGATTCATGAGAAATTAAGGTTCTAATTTGATAATGTTTGTAGTAGAGTACGGGAAAGATGAGATGTAAAAAGAGTAAATTGGCTCAATGTGAGAAGCAAATAAGGCCACTAACGATTGAGTTTTTAATAAGAGTTAAAAGTAGATAACAAAATGACAACAAAATATACGTACTAGGTCTCCTAAGGGTGGAGGAGGCTGAATATAATTTTATTCCAATATTTCATCACTAAAAAAGTAAACTAAATCAATTTGACAGTTTTATGGAGAAAAAGCTTATATGCGCTTTAGAATTAACTGAAATAAAAACAACTTAAATAAAATGGACCGAAAGGTAAACAACTTAGATACTTTCATAACGAAAAAAATACAAGTTAAATATGGTTTAGAATGAAATGTAATCAACATTGTTACTTAATGGATTTTAACTTGTTGGCTCGATCGATGACTTTCGGTTAAAGGGTGATTAGATAGTAGATATTTAATTACTAGATTATTGATATGCTTTGTTCTTGTCAATCCAACACAATATGTTAAATAAATGACTTGATGTTAGTTTGATTTCATATAGAAGTTGAAATCCTCAAATCACAATGACAATCCTCCTTAAAAGGTTCAAGTAACCAATACATCATGTTCTAAGAAAGAAGTCGTTTCTTTTACGGTCCATTTTGTGAATTGGTCCATTTTGTGAATTGAAAGTATAGTTATACAATTGGTCCCCACAGTTTAGATAACATCTTGATTATTTTTACTTCAATTTTTTATCAAATTTTTAAGGGAATACCCAATATACCGAACCCGACCTAATAGCCGAATATCCGAATTTAATATAGTATGGTTATCAGTTAATTTTTTTATTTGAAAATACCTGACCTATCCAACTTGAACTATCCAAAACCCGAAAGGTATACTTGGTCACCCTTAGGCTGCACGGTGTGGCTGCGGTTTGGGACCGCGGTTCGCGCCAGCTGGACCGCGCACACCGCCCCCAGACCGTGATCTTGCGCGGTTTTGGCCGCAGTGCGGTCCTTCAAGGCCGCGTTTTGTGATTGGTTGAGGAGAATTGGGAAGGATTGATCGGTTGTTGGTTGTTGAGTATTTATTTTTATTTATTTATTTATTTATTTTTTTGCTTTTGCTTTTTCTTTCCTATATATATACATATCAACTTCATTTTTTTTTCACAACAAATCATGTATACATGTCTTATATTGCATAACATGATTATTGAAGACGAAGGAAGAACGATATGTGCGTTTGACGAGGAAGAAACCATACCAGAGACACAACAAATAGAAATTGGTGGCGAAGAGTATATAAACAGGAGAGCAGAGATACGTTGCACTGAAACATTTCACAATCTTCGCAATGACTTGGTGGAACACATTTACGGGGTTCAAAACATTAACCTTAATTTGGATCTACCGGATGACCCCGAAGACGAGTTCTCGGAGAACGACTTTATATAGTTTGCTTTAGTTAGGATTATTTAAATGTCATGTGTGTGGTTTTCGTTTGTTTGTTTTTTTTTTTTTTTGGTAATGCAATGTATTGTTTTTTTTTAATTTTCAAGTAATGAAAAATTATGTTTTTTTTATTAAAATAGAAGTTTTATTAAATTAAAATAGTTAAAAAAAAAGAAGTTTTATTAAATTAAAATAGTTAAAAAAAAAAAAAAAAAGAATGTGTGGCACCACTCCTTTGGTATGGCAAGAAACCACACTTGAGTGGTAAAAAATGACATGACGCTTATGTGGTGGGGGAGGGAGTGCGGTTTCGATGGCACCACACCCTCCAGCCTTACTGGTCACCATCTTGAGGTAACTTGATTGTTAGTGTCCGACCATTAGAGGTAGACTAACACTATGATGACTTGGTGAGGCTGATACCATAACTTATGAAGAACTAGAGGGCTTATGTAGGGTTCGACTTCTTAAATCAACAAAGTGATAATGTGAGATGAAAATGCGTGACTCATACTTTTTTTTTTACTTTTCTGTTAAGGTGATTATATTATATATTTATTAAATATGAAATAATTAAAAATATTCTCCATGTTAAATAATTAAAAAATAAATAGAGATATGATATTTAAATGAGTTTGTGACTTGAAATCAAATTGGAAATTTCAATCCTAATCGAACCCGTTTAAATAGAAGGGTTGGTCCATTTTAACTTGAAAGAGTTGAAAATTTAAACACAAACTGTTATTTTAACGCTAATTTTGGATTGATTCGAGGTTGGATCATATTCTTGTCACCTCTATTCTTACTATGACGGGAGTCCAAGTTAGAGTATCTCATACACACATGTGGACATGGACACGAGTAGTAGATCTTCGTGAGTGACGTGTGTACAACTATTTAGTAGTGTTATATCCAGGAAAAGAGACAAACATGAATCGAGCCCAACACAAGACTAGGTCACATTTGGTTAAACTTTTTCCATAAACTTTTTTCTTTCCAACAATGTATGTAATAAATGCATCGGTATATAGAATAATTTCTACATTTAGCTAGTAAATCAAGGCTCCAGAAGACAAGAAGGGCCCAATTTACTAAATATAAAAAATCAAAAAGGGCTTTAAAGGTGAGTTATACACTTATACTTATGACTAGTTATGAATGGGACTCACAGGTACAGCCCAACCCATTTGATGATGGATAGTATCCAAAGATGATTAAAATTTAAAACTACCCGTTTTTGTTGCTTTTCTATGGTTTCCATAATTAGATATTCTTTAAAGAGGCGACAAAGAGATAGTGAATAGAGCATGTGGGATTCTTTTTGTTGTTTCCCTTCATCACATATTGCCGAAAATTGAATTTCGAACCTCAAATTTTGTGTTTTCAATTAAAAAAGTATATATGTAATCTCAGTTTTTTGCGCTTAAGTTTTTAAATAGATAAATGCGCAGACCTTTGTTGCTTACCTTTTCTTTTTGTCATAGAGATTGTCGGACTCGGAGGGTTTGATAATTTTGGGAAGAAGAGGTTGAAATGGAAAGGGGCTCGAGCAGCAAGTTCAAGAGACTGTGTGTTTTCTGTGGAAGTCATCCTGGTCATCGAGAAGTCTTCAGCGTTGCTGCTACTGAATTGGGAGATGAAATGGTTGATTGGTTTGCTTTTATTATCTTTATTGCGATTCTTTTTGTTGCTGACTTTTTAATTTTGGATGCATGTCTGTTCTTGCTGGCGCATCATCTTTTGATTAAAAGAGTCAGAATTTTATTTCTAGTTATCAAACTGGTGTTTGAATATATGACTGTTCTTGGTGGTGCACCATCTGTTTGATGAAAAGATTCTTAGAATTCGGTTTCTTGATATGAAATCGGTGTTCGATTATTGCACCATTAAGTCTTCCCTTTTCTGATCGAACCTTCTGATTATTTAGTTTCTTTATGTAATTAGATGTGATTTGAATGCGATATGCGACTGTTCTTGGTGGTGCACAATCTGTTTGATAAAAAGACTCTTAGAGTTTAGTTTCTTGTCATGAAATTGGTGTCACTAAGTCTTCTTATTTTAATTAAAATTTGCTTGCTTTTGTAATTACAGGTGAATCGGAAGATAGACTTGGTATATGGTGGTGGAAGTGTTGGTCTAATGGGTATGATATCTCAGAGAGTTTTTGATGGAGGCTGCCATGTTCTTGGGTAATATACATAAACCTCAATCCTTGTTCTGTGTATAATTTCTATCACTCTGTCATAAATTTGCAGCTTTAATGAAATCCTTGTTGCTTGCTTACTTGCAGAGTTATTCCCAAAGCTCTTGTTCCTCTCGAGGTATTTCCCCTTTATAAATCAACATTTTTTTGAGTTTCTTCTAGGTACCCATGTATCCTTTTGATCCAGAATTGCTCAGTTCCTTTGTTAGCTTATCTTTTTTGGACACAAATAAGAAAAAAAATTTAATGTTTCTCTTAGTTAGATTATGGTTTATGGACACAAAGTTGGAATTTTTTTTAAACTTTCTTAGTTAGACTAGTGTGGGATAAAAGATATAGCTTAAGGGCATGTTTCGTTCTTTTTTCCATTAAGTGCTGTATGGTAAATTGCTGAATGGATAAATGATGTTTGTCTAGAGTAAGTGTTTTATACATGTAAATGTTTTGTTTTTGGATTGAATGTGAGTAAATAATGGCAATTATACCCTTTTGTTATTCTGCATCACTTTTAAACCAAAGGATAAAATAGTCATTGACTCACATCCAGACACTTTGTTCCAAAAATGAAATAGTCTCTAAGCTTGTTAGATAGACAAAAATGATTTGTAAGGTTTGTTTTGGAATCCCCTAGCTCTTCCAAGCCACTTAGCTCAGGAAACAGAGCATCAGAGTTTATCTCACGTACAAAGTGATTGAAATAATAATGTATATCGTATATGAAAAGTGTGGATAAAGATGAAATTTTTGGAAAAGATTTTCAAAGATGCTAATTTTAATAGATATCTGGTGAAACTGTTGGAGAAGTACGAATTGTTTCAGACATGCACGAAAGGAAAGCGGAAATGGCTCGACAATCTGATGCCTTTATTGCCCTCCCTGGTATCATTCAAATCACATCTAACTTTCTAGATTTCATTTCAACATGAAATTTATATTCATGGTGGTAATGAATTGAACACTTTCAGGAGGTTATGGAACCATGGAGGAAGTATTAGAAATGATCACATGGTCACAGCTTGGAATTCATAAAAAACCTGTGAGTTCAACTTTATTTCAACATTTAAAAAAAAAAAAAAAAACTTTTTAGTGAGTTGCTTCCATATATATATGAAATAACCTTTAAGTTTATGTACCTATAGGTTGGTCTCCTAAACGTTGATGGTTATTACAACAATTTGCTTGCATTATTTGACAATGGAGTGAAGGAAGGTTTCATCAAGCCAGGTGCTAGACAAATTGTCATATCTGCCCCTAATGCAGTAGATTTGCTTGCAAAGATGGAGGTACATCTTACATAATCTTTTTTGTTATTTATGATCATATTTTTATTTTTTATAATGATTTATGTAACTTATTTTCTGGATTGCAGGAATACACTCCTGATCATGATCATGTTGCACCTCACGAGAGCTGGCAGATGGAGCAACTCGGGAACTATCCAAATAAGAATTGATTTAAATGTTTTATTTATTTATGTAATTCTTTTCATTTGGTGTGAGTTTGATTATGGTGAAGACATCCGTGTTGTGCTAGAAATGATCAATTGGTTTGATTATGATTCATTCGTTTTCTGCTGTTTTATGTTATGAAACAGCCAAGAAAACATTGAAAGAAAAAAAAAAGGCTTAATAGGTTCTGTTACTTGGTGAATAAGTTTCATCAAGAAACTGGATATTGTGCGATGTATTGACTCTAATGCTGATGACTTGCTTGTATTATTGTAATAATTGTGAATTGTTTTCTATCTTGATTTATATTAATTGTGAATTGTTTTTGTATCCTGCCATGTTCTCTGTATCTGATCCTGCTATGTTCTATGTATTTGATATTTCCACTGATATGTGAATGTGAGAAAGAATGAGTTGATTTCATAAAAAAGGGAAAAGCTTTACAAGAACGAAAACAGTTTACTTGGAAGAAAGGTCAAGAAGCTTTTGAAGAAAACTAGATCACATAAAGAATACATACAATCACAAAAGGAAGGAGAACATGGAAAGAAGGCTTAAAGAGGAAGAAGAATAAGAGAGGATAATATGATGAGTAGTGGGTTAAGCAAAGAAGAGATTTACTGAGAAAAGGCAAGGTTAGCCGGAAGTGATGGCCATAGGGGAGGTTGTAAGGGTGGTGGTTGGTCCCACTTACCAAGTAAAATTTTAAAATTTAAAATTTAATATTTTTAAATATATATTTTTTGACTTTTTTATTTTTTATTTTTTGTTATTAATTTTTTTATTAATATAGGTACAATGTTTTAAGTACAAAAACTCAAAGTCAACTCAAAAATACCCATTTGGTAAAAAAAATCAAAGTCAAAGGGTATGGCCTTTAGCATCAACTTAATAGAAAATTTTAATGGAGTTAAGAGGTTGAAATGACATTGCAAAAAATTAGAAATCACGGACTCAATAGATACAAATCAAAAACCCAGACTAAAATTATGATATTTGTCAAACCACAGGGGCCATTCCTGAAATTTAGTCAAAACAATTAGTAATTTTATGCCAATTTTCAATGCACCAAAAGACAATGGAGTTGATATCAATAATTGTTGTTGCCTACGATGCTTTTGATGATACAAACTCTTGAGATCTTTGGTTTTGTCACCCTATACAACATGAGACGAATACAAAAGTAAAGATTGCATCCCATTAATTCACATTTTCATATTCTTCAAGAGAAATTAACAAATGAGAAATATGGACAGCAACAAGGCTTATCCGATGAAGGGTGGAGATGGTATCAGTAGCTACACCAACAACTCCTCCTATCAGGTATATATCTATCTATCTATCTATATATGTTTCCAAATGCATGTATTTCTCAAATATGAGTTGTTATATATCTTTGATATTCTTGAGGATCCGTGTATCTTTAATGAAGATAGATGTCTTGTGTAGAAGTCTCTTTCAGACGTTGCTATGTCACTCATCAGCGAGGCTGTTGCTGAGAAGCTTGATGTGGCCGCATGTGGATCCCCCTTCCGTATTGCAGACTTGGGTTGTTCCGTTGGCCCCAACACTTTGATTGTTGTTGAAAACATAATAAACTCTGTGCAACTCAAATATGATCAATACTCCTTCCCAACACCAGAGTTCCAAGTCTTCTTTAACGATCACGCTTCAAACGATTACAATACCCTCTTCAAAACCCTTCCTTCCAATAAACAGTACCATGCTGCTGGTGTTCCCGGCTCGTTTTACACTCGTTTGTTCCCTCGAACATCTCTTCATGTCATCCATTCTTCATTCGCTCTTCATTGGCTTTCAAAAGTGCCTCAAGAGGTGATTGAAAAAGACTCTCGAGCTTGGAACAAAGGGAGACTTCATTATGGTGGGGCTGATAACGAGGTGGTTATGGCTTATCGGCAACAACACATGAAAGATGTGGATGGGTTTTTGAAAGCTCGAGCAGAAGAGGTGGCTAGCGGTGGTATGGTGGTGGTTTTGGTGCCAGGCCGGCCAAATGGGGTTCCACATCTAGAGTGCATTGGTAATGTGTTGTTTGAGGTGTTGGGTTGTTGCTTGTTGGCCATGGCGAAGGAGGTAAATGGTTAAACTATAATACATTCTAATTCTAATTAATAACAAAGTATTGAAACTTTACTTCCGTCTGTAGGGAAAGATTGAGGAAGAGAAAGTAGACTCTCTAAACATTCCCATATATTACTCATCCCCTCACGAGTTAGAGGAAATAGTTGATAGAAATGGTTGTTTTAGGATAGAGAAAATGGAAGTGATGCCTCACATTGCCGAGCCTGAAACCAAGGATGCTGCCGGACGTCTTGCAATGGGTGTAAGGGTTGGTGTTGAGGGAGTCTTGAAGAGGTGTCTCCAAGAGGAAACCATAGATGAGCTCTTTGAGTCATATCGCAAGAGACTAGAACAAGTACCATCTCTGTATTCCTCCGGTGGAGCAGCTATAATATTTTTGGTACTAGCTAAGAAGGAATCATAACTAATGATGGTAATTAATCTTGTTAAAGACCTAGAAAAAAAAATCTATTTTTGATATTATAGTTTCTTAGTTAGTCGTTTTGTGTTAATGGCTTTATGCCTAAACAATGTTTGTTATTCTGCTTGATGTAGTACTCATGAGATGTTCTGTTTCGTGTTTTGGCTTAATGAGAAATGCCTAAACAAATTACCATTTTAGTTTTATAATATGTTTTGGTTTCAATGTTGTGAATATTAGTGCAAAGTTTGTCATTTTGGTTTCATTGTTATCGCTCTAAGTAACCATCAAGCATTTGCTTTCAATTTTCGCTTTATTCCATGCTTTGCTTTCAATTTTGGCTTATTATAAAGACAAAACTGTTAGTTGAAAATTATCATTTGGTCCAAAAAATTTTGGACTAGCACTATTGGTCCAAACTTTTCATTTTGTTGCGAATTTGGTCAAAAGTATTTTGAAAATATCTAAAATGACAGATTTGCCCTTGGTGTTTTCTTTTTTCAATTTTTTTATTAAGTTTATTTATTAAAATAAATAAAAAAGAAAATGTAAACACCCCTCCCCACTCCTCCTTTGTTTTTGTAAACACCCACTGGAAGTCGTCGCTGGTCAAAGCACAACCACCACCACCAGAAGCCGCCGACGGTAGCACAACCACCACCACCTGAAGCCGGTAGAAGGGAGACATAGATCGGTGCTAGAAAATAGAGAAGACGAAGGGCTTCCCTTCTCTCTCTCTCCCCCCGTCGTTGAAGCTTGGTGAACAGATCTAGGCAACAGAGAAGACGAAGGGTGGCGGCTGCGTAAGGAGGTCTTCGGTGGGGGAAAGTGACATCGTCTTCGTCGTTTGAGAGAAGGACAATGCTATTGTAACGTCGCAAAATAGTAATAAAATTTTTCGTTTAAAAGTCATTCAAAACATTCATTAATTGTTCGGAACCCATACAAATAATAGTATTAAATCATCAGAGTACAAATTATTTCATATGCGGAAACCATGAGGGGAGGATGATGTGCCATCACGCCGGACCCTTCCCTTTGGAACTGGAAGTACCTGAAACCATAAACATAAACTGTAAGCATAATGTTTAGTGAGTTCCTCAGGTACCAAATAACACACATGAAAGAAGATAAATGTTAAGCTTTGTGCTTACGGTTTGTGGTTTAATTGTTTCAGGTTTTCTTATATTAAAGGAGGGACATGAATCAATTGCATCGCATCCATGAGATATTTGTTCACATGATAACCTTTGACGATACTATGATAAATGTTTTGAGTTAAATGGTTTTATCTAAGTTTTTCGTAGGTGTGAATTGAATAAACATGTACTTAATTATTTTTAAATGAAAAATTTGGTATGAAGATTGGGATGTTACAGCCTAAAGCCCGAAATGTAGAATTTTATGCCTGATGCATCCATACACCATGTAGTTAAATAAACTACGCCTCTCATCCATGTGGCATCAACGCGTTATGTACAACCAAGTATGCGCCGCATAACCCAAAAATTTCTTTTTTCTTTTATTTAACTTAAAAAACTTAAAGAGAAACACACCAAAAAAGTAGATGTTACAACTATGAGACCTTCAACTGCAATAATATAAAGAAAGGGGAGATATGATCTCCTTGGCTTATACCTTTCTCTATGAACAACTCATTCGTAGGGCACATTTAAAAAGCACTCATACCTTGGAGGAAGGAAGAATGGCCCTTATCCAAGTTCTCCATGTAGCGCCAAAATCCATCTGTTCCACGCCGTCATCCATGTATCTCCAACTAATCGAATCAAAAGCTTTGTCATAATCGACTCGACTTTGAGTAGTAGAACTTTTTCCTTCCTCTTGTTAGCCCACAAAATAGCTTCATTGACGACCAAAGGACTGCCCAAAATATCCATATCGGTAACATAAGTTGATTTCTTGCGCCACATAACTAATAACTTTTTTGAGTATGGCGACAAATGTTTTAGATATAAATTTTGTGATGCTCCCGATACGATTTATAGGTGTATGCTCAATGAGTTTGAGGAATCATGCAATTTAAGGACAAGAGAGATGAAGAAGGTGTTGCTCCTTGGATTTAGGAGTTTGTTGTTAGGTTGTCAAACCCAACAAATAATAATGATACAGTAGACTCCAAATACACTTCTATAATGCACTAAAAAGTAGCACAATGCAAGCAGGGTCGAACCATAGAGACACAAGATAATAGTCTATACCTCTTTGCGTAAGGCACTTTGGTCACAAAAAGGGGGGTTTCGTATGCAAAAGGTTAAGTAATGTAAATAACAATCTACTTTGAAAACATGTAGAAAATAAAATAGATTTGTAAACAATGAATTAAACGATTACAGTTCTAGTTCTCAATGTTGTCATTTAACTTGATTTTTCCTTGATGCAATTCATGATTAATATTCTATGTTGGTACTGAAAGATACTAAGAGGCTGTTTGGTAGGATCTGAATTTTTAAGATCTGAATTTTTAAGAGGTCTGAATTTCTAAGAGAGTCTGAATTTTTAAATGTTGTTTGGTTGGAACATCTGAATTACAGTGCTGAATGATAAAAATGACTATTTTACCCTTATGTGTTATTTTTTTTAATTCAATGTTTTTATTTATAAAATAACCAAAAAATTTCAACAAAAAATAACTACATTATTTCATATAAGCAACAAATCATTATTTAACCAAAAGTCAATGTTTTTTTATTTATAAATCCAACAAAATTCAGCAATAAACAAGAAAATTTTCACCAAAAAAACAATAACATTATT